GGCAACAAAAAGTGCTGAATGAAGTAATGTGAGGTGCTCAGTACAATGCCTGATACAGCATACAGATTCAGCCTTAACGGGGTGCAGTGGTACCTGCCTGTAAACCCAGCTATTCAGCTATTCAGCGTGCTTTAGCAAGAAGGTCAACAGTCCAAGGCCAGCCTAGACAATTTAGCAAGACCTTAGCTGAAAATGTGTGTGTGTGTGTGTGTGTGTGTGTGTGTGTGTTAAGTCTGGCACAGCACTTGGGAAGCTGAGGCTGGAGACTTGCTGCAAGTTCAAGGCCAGCTTTGGCTACATAGTGAGTCCAAGGCCAGCCTGAACTACACAGCAAGACTCTGTCTCAAAAACACCAAAATATATACATTTACTTATTATTTACATATTATACATTATGTATAATATATAAATATATTATTTGTGTATCATATAGAAATATATTTATTATTTATTAATTTATATACCACATAGAAATATAATATATATATTGTTTAAAAGGCTGGGTGAGGCCGGGGATTTAGCTCAGTGGCTTAAACACCTGCCTGGCAAGCACATGGTCATGAGTTTCATTCCTGGTACCCAAAAATAAATAAATAAACAGAAGGCTGAGTGACACAGTTCAGTGACCGCACTTGCCCAGCATGTGGGTGCCCGGGTACACACAGGGGCACACATGCCTCTCTCTCACACATTCTTGTTCCCCTGGACACCGAGGCCCTGTTTGCACTATCTGGGTCACCCTACGGTGTCAGTGGTCCTCTTAGCTCCCCAGCCTGTTGGTGTCAGGCCAGCTGTCACTTTGCACCTGTCCCGTGTCCACGTCAGTCACTAAGAAGCCACAGCACCAGGCCATGGCAGACACTCAAAAGTTGTGAAATAATTTGCTCCTTCCCTCATTTCAGGGCTATGAATTTATTTACTCCTTCCTTCCTTCCTTCCTTCCTTCCTTCCTTCCTTCCCTTCCTCAATCCCTTTGGTCACTTGTCCTCTCATTCAGGGCCCCCAGAGCTGGCTAGGCTCCTGGTCCTCACCTCACCCCATCACACATCTGCTGAGTTGGATCTGAGCGCTGGCAGCAGTGGCTCTTCCTCGGCCAGCCTGGCCTGGACCTGCTGCAGCACAGATGACCTCCTGTTTCTCTCCCTCCTCCTGTCCTGACCATGTGTCCTGGGCCAGATGCTTGTGAAATCCTGTGAGTCCTTCCTTCTCCAGCTCTCCAACAGCCTGGCACACAGAGCTTGGCTTTGGCAAGGCAGGGCTAGGAAGTGACAGCCCTGCTGACAGCAGCCCAGGCTGGGACTTGGAGGGTGACCAAGGTCACTGGGCACATCACCATACACAGATACACATTCATGAGCACACCTGTGACAGGCTCACACGAGAATGTGGCCTGGAAAAGGACAGGACAAGTCCAAGGCTACAGGGCAAGTCAACATGGGAATCCAGACATGGCATTCATTCATGGATCTGTCTACACAGCAGGTGGAGGAAGACACTACAGACATTTCCTGGCTTCTCTGAGCTTAGCTTTGACTGCATATAGTAAGTGCTTGATAAACGTGGCTGCTAAAAAGAAAAAAGGATCAGTGGAAGAGCAAGGGCGAATAAACATGTAGTGTGTTGTGTGTCTACAGATTTCATTATAATCACCTGAAGGCATGTTGGTGCGTATCCAGGCCGGAACATGTTTGTATGAGCACTTGGCTGTGAACTCATGCGGCCGGCTGTTCCTTTCCAGCCACACACATCATCTCTGGGGTGCTGCCCCAGGGGCTCTTCCCAGTACCCATCACAGGCAGGGATGCTTGCTGCCGAGACTACCAGGACCCTGTGAGGGGCTGCGCCTGTGCCCCTTCCATATCAGGCTGGCCAGTCTTGCACTCTGGGCTCATTTCTGCATCTGTGCATGCAGGAAAGACTGGGCGTTCGGGAACTGCACAGCTTGGACTCAGATTTCCACTCTGCTAGCTGTCCCATCTCAGACAGCCAACTTGGACGCTCTGCATTCTGCTTCTTTGTCTCTGAATGGAGAGCTGGAGACAGTGCCACGCCCCTTAGGATGGTGTAAGGGCTCAAATCCACATCCAGTATTGAGGACACAGCCCAGACCAGACACCCAGAGAGAACCACTATCACATGATTTAGTGACTTAGCAAGCTCTAGTCTCTAAACAAAAAATAAAATAAAAAGAGATGGGAATGTACCTCAGTGCTAAGGCCTTGGGTTAAAAATTGCCAGTAAGAAAAAAAAATAAAACAAACTGTGTGTGATGGTGCACAGCTATAATCCCAGCACTTGGGAGGCTGAAGCAGGAGGATCACCACAAATTCAAGAGCAACCTGGTTTGCATAGTGAGTTCAAGGCCATGACAAGACCCTGTCTCAAGCAAACAAACAAGCAAAAGAAAAGAGAGAGAGAGAGAGAGAGAGAGAGAGAGAGAGAGAGAGAGACTTAATCTCTGAGACTCAGAGATTAAGAGACTTCTGAAGTTCACAGTGCCTCCAAACAGGGGGAGGGGTGTGTACTGACTTTCTCTCAGCTGGGAGGGGTAGGAGACAAGATTGAGATTCTGGAGCAGGGGTGTTGCCGACTGTCTCTCTGATCCCCCAGCCAGCTTGCACCCCACCTGACACCTGCTGGAGTCTAGGAATGTCACTTGGTTTCTCTTCCCGACTCAGGGATCACAGCTCCCTGCCCGTAAAGGCCAGGCGGCGGCCCCAGATCACTCTTTCTTTGGTGGAAAGAACCTCATCCCCCAGGGAAGAAGGCCTCCCGGATGGCGTGGCACTCAGCTCTTGCGTGAAAGAGGGGGAGCAGGAGGTCCACCCGCTGGTCAGCCTCCTTCCTGTTCCCCTAGATATACCCCTCAGAAGAAAATGGGTGGGGGTGGAAACAGCTTTCCTCCAGGTCAGGACGCTGTCGAAGGCCCAGCTGCCACCGCCAGAGGGCACCCTGAGAGCACCTCGGGCTCTCAGCCTTCTGTCTGCACCTCAGGTCTCCTGTGCACCCTGCAGCTGTCTGTAGCACTCTTTTCATGTCACCTAGGCGGTGGCAGCTGGTAGTGTTCAAATCCCCCATCTGTGTGTGTGTGTGTGTGTGTGTGTGTGTGTGTGTGTGTGTGTGTATTTTACTGGGGATTGAACCGAGGTTTTTGTACTGCGCTACAAACCCTGCCCTTTTTATTTTTTAAAAATATCTCATTATGTTGCTAAATTACTGTGGGTCTGTTTAAACTTAAAATCCTTCTGCCTCAGCCTTCCAGAGGGCAAGATTACAGTCATGCACCACCACACCCGTTTTGAAACTTTTTAGTTTGAAATACTGTTAGACTGAGAGAAGGGCTGTTGCATAGTCTTTTGCTATGTCTCCCCAGTCTCCTCCAACCTCAGGGAGTGTCTTATTCTTCTCAAGAACCTGGATTTGTGACCTGGATCTCAGTTCTAGGGTGGAACCCCATCCCGGGCACGTACTCTGCCTGAGCCACACCTAGCCTCTGATCTGGGTGGGTTTTTTTGTTTTTTTGGTATTTTTGGGACAGAGTCTCACTCTGCAGTTCAGACTGGCCTTGAGCTCACTTTTTAGTCCAGGTTGGTCTCAAACTTGCAATGATCCTCCTGCCTCAGCCTCTCAAGTGCTGGGATTACATGTGTGCACCACCACGTCAAGCTCGACCTGGGAGATTTTGGAGAACGCTAGGCAGACTTTCAGCAGGGCAGATTTCCTGCCTAGGCTGAAGTTATGGTTAGGGAAAGGACAGCACCCAGTTGACATGCCCTTCTTGCCCTTGTTTTGGAGGGCTTGATATCAACCCTTGTCCTGCTGATGTTACCCTGATCCTTTGGTTAAGGTGTTGTCTGCCAGACTTTTCCACCTGACATCACTATATTTGCTTTTAAGTTCTACGTGTCGGAAGCAAATGGCTCAGTCCAGCCCCAATTCAAGGAGAGTAGAATGAAGCTCCCAACCAGCAGAGCATCGAAGAACTGGCAACTGGATGGTGACACCACCACAGCAATGACTGCACGTCTGTGGGAGATTCCTTGACACGACACGGATAGCCTGTGTCACCTGAAGTTTCTATTCATTTTTGTCATTCATCGGACAGATTTTCCTATGACGGTTATTACTGTGGTTTGGTTTGATTTTGAGAGACAAGGTCTCTATGTAGCCCAGACAGGCCTGCTTCAGCCTCCCAAGTACTGAAACACAGATGTCCATTACCGGATCCTGATCCTAACTTAGGATTCTGGGCAGAGGAGGAACTTGACCTAACATGTGTATTTGTTGGATCGGTCTGACTGGTCTGGCTGCTGCTTCAGGATGAGGCTTGGGGAGGGTGTGCGGCTGTGTGTGTGTAAGGTGGAATTCAGGGAGATGCTCATGCCATAGCCTACATGACAGGTGCCAGTGGCTTCGCTCAGGAACTGGCCTGGCCCAGGTGTGGGAGGGAACAGGATATGTGTCCAAGATCGAGTCGATGGTCCCTGGCTGACTCATGGCTGAGGAAAGGAAGCAGTCAAGAAGCCACTCCCTAAGATGCAGGCGGTGGCGGGCGGCTTGGTGGGGGCAAGGGTGGGAGGCCAGCTTGGAGTGGTTGAGTCGAAATTCAGCCTCCAGAAAAAGCAGTTGTAAATGCACGCGTGGCGCTCAGGAAGCAGGTCCGGGGGAAACAGTCCTTCCCAGGACCAGCCGGCGCCGAGGTGAGGTGTGTTCAGGTCTGCAAAGCTCCCAGGACAGCGCAGGGGCAGCAGCAACAGCGGTCAGGTCCGGTCCGGTCCGGTCCTGTCCGGGATCGCTCCTTCGGCCCCAGCCTCTCCTCCCCCTCCCCGGGGATGCGGTGTCTCCCTTAGTCCCTCTCAGGCCGGACCAGCGGGGCCAGCATCCAACCCACTCCCGGGGGCCTCTCCCATCGCTAGGTACCGAACCTGTAAACTGAAGGCGCGCGGCTCCCCTCTCCCTCCTTCCCCAGTCCCAGGATGCGAGAAAGGCAGCGAAGCGGCGGCGGAGGCCCCAACTGTTTATTGAAGGGGTCGTAGGACGGGTCGGGGAGTCGGGGAGGCTGCACGCGGCGGGAGGCTGTGGTCGGGCTGGCTGAGCAGCACAGCGATTGCGATGGTTCCCTCGGGGCAGGAGAGGGGGCGGGGAGCGCGTCTCTCCAGCGGGCTCGGGGCGCCCCCTGGTGGCAGAGGAGGAGATGACGGTCCCGGCTGAGGAGGGAGCAGCGGTGTTTCCAGGGTGGCCTCTTTGTCATCACGAGGGCACTGATGCTCAGGGGGTGAGCTTGGAGGGAGCAAAGACTTCGCTTCTCCTGTTTCCTGGCTCTTAGGGACCATTTAAATCTGTGTCCAAAGTAGGCACCTGACAACCACCAGGCCTCCAGCTAGTCTCCTGGGCCAAACCTGTCCTCACCCCGAAACCCTCCCTGGAAACAGTAAGTTGGGGAGCTCTGCTCTTGCTGCACAATCAGAGCTGGCCCAGGTGGGTTCCAGTTCCTGCACACAGCCTTGCTCTGTGAGTGACCCTGACACACCCCTCTCAGCGTGCCTCAGCCTCCTGCACTTCCAACGGGATGATCAGTGCCTGAGATGGCTGGACTGGGCAGCTCCAGTGCCTCAGTGCAGGTAGGAAGCAAGGTGTGGGGTAAATGTTTTCACACCATCTTGAGCTTCGTGGGAGATGAGAGCAGCTGGACCTGGTCTGATGTCAAAGAGACAGGAACTGATGGTCTAAAGGGCAAGGGGCCCAAGGTCAGAAGAGAGTGGCGACTGTTTGAGGGAAATGTCCTCTGCCCCTGAAGGGCCCTGGAGAGGAGGGGCAGGAAGCCTTGAGCAGAAGTGCCACAGGGGAGGAGTTGGCACCTTAGGGCAGGGGTATGGGGAGGCGAGCTCCAAGTTTGACCTGGAGCTGGGCCTTCTGGGGCCTTGGGTAGAAAAGGTCCTGCTGAGAGAGAAGTTGAGGGACAGTAGGAGGGTGATGTGTGATGGGAGGAAGAAGGGGTTCATCTCTCCTTGAGCTACCTCACGGGCACTCAGGAGTCCCTCTTGGGTTGGCCGGTCTGCACGCAAGATTGCCCTAAGGGGCCCCTGCTGGTCGAAAACCATGACTGATCACTGGCATTATGAAAGATGGGGGACAGCTGCTGCTCCGGCTCATCCCTGAAGACCTCCACATGGTTGTCGGCTTCAGTGTCCAAGGGCTCCGCCTTGGCTTCGGGGTTTAGCCAGCCTGACACAGCCCACAAGAGGCAGATGGCCAGCAGGATCCCGGCTGCCCCACAGAGAGCCGTGCCTGCCAAGCGGCAGGCGCTCAGAGCCTTGTTGTAGTCAGCTGCCCGCGAATCTAGCATCGGCAGTTGTTCATTACTGACGGTCTCCAGCTTGGGGGGCACCGCGTAGCCGGTGGTCAGAGCTGCTATCCCCAGCAGCAGAAGCAGGCTTCCTGAAGACAGGCTGATCTGGGGAGAGACAGTCAGGATCACCTGGGATTCTAACTGGATCCCAACCATGAGAGAATGGCATCCCAAGACACAACAGTGGGATCTGGTGACATCAGCCATCCTGGTCTATTTGGAATCCTGAGGCCTCCTCATGGATTTCCTCTCCAACTCCCATAGGGCCCCTCCATCATTACTCAGCTCCCATCTTAGCCCCCTGGCCTTTCTACCCTCTATCTCTCGGCCAGGTCTGTACCTATGCATGCTTAGTCTCATCTCAAACCTCTCCTCTCCTTAGAAACCAACTGGGACACCCAGGCTTGGGGCAGGACACTGCTGAGGATGCTGCACCAACTCTGCCCACAGTTGTTCTGTAATGTGCCCACCTCAGTGTACCCTCAGACCTGGGTTTGGGCTCCTGCCTGTGATGTTGGCCTGTTTCACTGTGGGGGGGAGCCTGTAGGAGCAGAGACTGTCCACTGGGGCTCAGTCAGTGCCTTTATGCCCGACACAGTGCTGGCACAGGGCAGAGGCTAATGCTGATGACTAGATGACCATACCTAGGAGTTCTTGTAGAGCAAGGGTCATGTCTTCTTAAATTCTTTGTCCTCACCTGGGTCTCCTTGACCACCCATGGCTGAGTCTACTTCCTTTCCTGGCATCCTCTGCACACCCGACCTGAGCTTGTGCGGGCTGGCATCTCTGCACCTAGCCTCCTCACTAGAACAAAGCCCTTCGAAAGCAGAAGCCTAAGTTTCCTACAATATTTAGCAAGAAACTATGCCCAGTGTAGGAACTGCAGGCTGACAACTCCCCCTTCCTGTTATGGATAAAACAGTTTGCTTCTCTCAGGTCTTTCCGCTCACTGCAATGGCACCCGAGTGCCACAGCACTGGGAAACCACGGCAAGACTGAAGAGGGCTGGACTTGGGCCTGCCAGTCTGTGTTCTTCCCTCCGGCATGATTTGTTCAGCCAGTGCTGCTGCCAGTGAAGCACACTGTTGCTTGTAAACAGCAACTTTTTGCTAGCTCTTCTGAAGTTTTTGCCTCTCTCTATAATCAGTTTGTTGACATTTATAAAATTTGCTGGACGTTTTTTGAGGATTGAGTCTGTAGATCTGTTTGGATAGAATTATGTCTTGACAATATTGAGACTTCCTATCTGTACATATTTTGCTAAATTTATACCCATTTCTACCTTCGGGAACGCATGTGCTGATGCAAATGGTGATGTATTTTGATTTGTGGCTATTCTGCTACTTTGCTTTTCTGTGGTAATGGGGGAACCAACTACCCTTTCTGGTCTGAGGGTTGGCACAGTAGCAGTCATTTGAGGAATGTGTAGGGAGAGCTTGAAGCTGCTGTGCTAAAAAGAATAGGGGCATCAACTGGGTGTGGTAATACACGCCTGTAACCCCAGCACTCCGGAGCCTGAGGCAGGAGAATCAATGCAAGTTTGAGAGCAGCCTGGGGTACAAAGTGAGCTCAAGGCCAGCCTGAACTGCATAGGGAGACTCTGTTTCAAAAAGAGGAAGAAAGAAATTAGGGGCATCGTGGAGCCCCTAAGTCTAAGAGAAAAGCTGAGTAATTTTCAGTGTACTGGTTTGAACTGCTGGGTCAAATTTTCCTGAAGGTACTGAATGTCTGATCTCTTACAGAAGACGAATGGCATTTTCTCTTTATTGTTTAAACCTGTTTGAATTCAGCTTTCCTTTGCTTGAACGTGCAAGACTCCTAGCTGCTATAACATGCCTTTACTTTCAAGTCTCTCAACATTCGGTTCAGTTTTGTCTCCTGCCTGCACCACAGGAACCCAGGAATTGCTCCTCTGACCTTACCTTCCAGCACAGTGAGGGCTGGCAGGGTTTGCAGGGACACAGGACCCGCGATCCTTCAGGATCATCGCTGAGCGCCGTGCCGGTGCAGTCCTCATAGAAGATGTGCAGGTAGGACCAGACCCCCTGCCACTTGCCTTCCTCCACCATGGTGGCACCACGGTTACAGACGCTGATGGGGTTGCAACCCAGCATGTTGGATCCCTGTGGGCAGGCAAGGTGCACCTGTTGGGGAAGGGACCCCAGAACTGCTTCTGGTGACTCTCCCATTTGGGCCCCACCCACTTGCCCCCTGAGGATTCAGAAGGAGCCAGTGGTCCAGGTGCTTAATCTGGTGCCTGCCACTGTGTAGACTCATGCTAGAGACTGTTAGCAGCTGTGACTGTGGGATTTGCAACCTGACTGTTGGGTTGACCCCCAGGCCACCACTGCCTTGCTGTGTGGCCTCAGACACATACTTTCACCTCACTAAGCCTTAGTTTCCGCTTCTGTAAAATGGGGTTATGAATAATGTCTGTTTCACTTGGCTATTGTGTCTGGTACTTAGGAAAGGCAGCTGTTAGGATTATGACTGTGACTTTTTTGTTATTATTCCTATCCTGAACTTGTGGAGGCCCGTGCCTAAAATGAGAGGTTCTTGTTTTATCTCTCTTCCCTCAGAGCCTCGCTCCCCTTTAGCCTCCTCCTCAGAGTAACTATCCTGGCTGACACCAGGCTGACATGAGCTGTGAAGCCCTGAATCTCCCTCCACAGGGATACATTCTGCAGCTGCCAGGCCCCACGGAGTTTGACTCCACCGAGGCAAAGCTCAGGATTAGCTCTTAGGCTTAAGGTCTGTCCCTATTAGCTAGGCATAGTGGTGGATGCCTGCAATCCTAGCTCTCTCTTGGAGCCTGAAGCAGGAGGATGGTAAGTTCAAACACTGCCTGGACAGATTAGTAACTTAGTGAGACCTCATCTCATTTAAAAAATAATAAAAAGGCTGCTCAATAACCAGGTCTCTTTTTTTGTTTCCTTCTTTTTGGTACTGGGGATCGAACTGATGACCTCGTGCTTGCCAGGCAGGCGCTTATGCCACTAAGCTAAATCTCCTGCCCAACCAGCCCTCTTTTCACCAAGGGGACACTGAGGCCATGAGAACAGTAGGTACAGGAGTGTCCACACACAAGGAGGGCCACAATCCAAGTAGGCAGGGTGCTCCAGGAGACCGGGTTTCTGTCTCTTCCCTACCCCAGATGGCCCTCAGCCCCTGCGAACAGCTTCAAACAAAACTAAAGTGTTTGTTCTAAAGGGTAAGACAGCTCTCTGGCCTCCCTCACTGCCAGTCTGGTGTGATCCTCAAATATCTGCGTAGAAATATACCAGCGCGCGTGCATGTGTGCACGTGCACACACACACCAAGCATCGTACAGAAACACGTGTGGACAGGCACATGGATACACCACACAAACACACACGTAAACGGACAGGTAAACACACTGATAATACGCGTGCTACACACACACACACACACACACAGTTGGAGTGCTTCTTGGAGACCCCGCAGAGCCAAAAGCGCACAGGATCGCTGTCAATCAAGCCTGTCCACAGGTCGCATATGTTCATCCTCATACAATTCAAGGAAAGAAAGAAAAAAGGGAAAAAAATTAAAGTGACAGAATGGGAAAAGGCAGAGGCTAAAAGCTCAAGAGTGACGCAGGCAGGCGAGGCGGGAGGTGTGGACAAGCGGAGCCCGCGGGGCGGGGCGTGGCCCGCGCATTTCCCGCCCACCCCGGAGAGGCGGGGTGGGGAGAATGAATGAGGGATAGTTTGTGGAGCCTCAGGGCAAAGACAGTCAATCAGAACCCCACGTAAGAGTCCTGGGAGGGGACTCAGGTCAGCCCCTCCCTTTTAATTTACTGCGTCCTCCGTCCCCCAAATGGGTGTAATCACTCAATCGCAAAGGTACCCGAGCAGCAAGGTGACCTTGACAGGATCGCCCCCCTCCGGCAGCCCCTCCCCTAGTCTGCGTCTGAGGAAGAAGTCACTCCCGCGAGGGGAGGCGGGCAGGGAGATGACGCCAACTGCGGGGTTGCCATAGGAACCTCAGGAAGTGGTCCCAGGCGGCAGAGCGAGGACCGCTGGGGGGAGCGGGAAAAGGAGACTGCGTGTTGGGGGCAAGGGGCTGCGGCTGAGGGGGCAGGGGAGATGCACGCGCCGTGGGACGAGCCCGAGGGTGAAGACGTGTGCACCCGGTCGCCCTGCACGGCCTCTACTGTTTCCCGCCCAGACCCCCGGGCCCACCTCCTCCAGCGCCCCGCGCTGCCCCGCCCCTCTCCACTAGGGAAATCAGGTCCCCCAGAGCAGCCCTCTTTCTGACTCGACTATCCTTTCCCCCGGTGAGATTAAACCTCTCCCAAGTGGTTCTAGAGGGAAACTGAGGCTGACTGGAACAGGAATCTGGGAGGCGTGGAGGACCGCGTCCTCTGAAGCCTCCACCCGGCCCAGGGGTGACGGGCCTGAGGCTCTTTGCCCGGCTGCCTCCAGGGGACCCTCACCTCGCAGAATCCGGGGCCGTCCTAGCGGGACGAGACAGTACTGGGGATCCGACTAGAGGGTGGGCTCCTCGAAATCCCGGGGACGCCGGGCAGGGGTCCTGGCGCGCGTGGGGCGGGGGCCGAGCTCACCGATCTGCCTGTCGTCTCCACCGAGCGAACAGCAGCTAGGCTGGAGCAGAGCAAAAGTGGGCTCGGTTCGCGCCTGCGCCGCAGCTGGGGCGGGGGTGACAAGGGGGAGGGGAGGAGGGGGCGCCTGCGCCTGGCGGGCTCCGGAGACTGCGGCCGGTTCCCAGGCTGCGCAGGACCCTTTCCTGAGTTCCTTCTCCTTCGGAGACCCCAGACCCACTGCTCACTGAGACGCCACGCCTCCTGGGCCTCACTCACTCTGCAAGCTCTCCGAATTCTGGCCCGCAGGTGTCCCCCCCCCTCCCCAGCCTTCATCACTTCACTGCACCTTTGCCTCATCTCCCACACCCCACACCCCCGCCTCGAGCAAATGTTGGTGTGGGGGCCAGATATTGGCAAGAAGTAACTCACCTTTGCTCTCTGGAGGGAGGCAGAGACAGCCTCCCCCAGTTCTGCCCTGGCCATCCAGCACCAGCAGCCACTTCCTGGAGTATCAACCTTTGGCGGGCATCAGCGCCAGCTTCCTGACTGTACACATTTGCTCGGTGGTCTTGGGGAAGTCACTGTGTCTTCTGAACTTCAGGCACCGCTGAACAAACTTCCTTTCACATCGTAATCATCTGTGCTGTCTCTCCCTGTGCCAGCAAAAGGCTGGAACAACCTGGGTAATTTTAACCAGTGCTACGAGTTCCTTAGCCCTGGGTGGATGTGGGTCTATGTGTCCTCTCTGAATCACAATGAGTCGATAACCAACCGGACCTCCAAGGCTGGGACAGGAAAGAACTTACAATCAGCCAGCATCCAGAGTGGGAGGAGGCCGTGGCCCACCCTGTGGGGAGGCCTAGCTCAGGAAGGCACCACACCCCCGTCGTTGGGGCTTACCCTTTGAGCTGCCTGAGCGCTGCAAAGCAGCTGATGACTGCAGTCCCCAAGGAGCTTTCACCTTCAAGTCATGCCAGGGAGACCTCACACAGTGTGGAGCAGAGAGGACACAGAATCCACAGCGTCATCCAGTAGCTATTGGTTTACACTAGTAGGGTTCTGGTGACTTTTTAGGTGCTGATAGTAATTGGAACACAATTGAAATACCCAGTTGATAGGAGATACGTTGTGTAAATGGTTATATATCTATTCATGGAATACTATGCAGCCATCAAAGAAGGAATTGTTCCTACACTTCAAGATCAGTGAAGGAAAAAGCAGTAGTATGTAAATGCTTGGTAGTAAAAAAAAAAAGGCAATAATATGCTTCATATTTGCAATTCTCCAAAAGTAAGTTGGAACATAAAGAGAAGTTGTGGGAGGGTAGACATAAAAGAGGTGACTGTGGATTTGTAGTGGGAGGCTGGCTATGGGCATGGGCAAGGAAGTTCACTGTTTACTACTTCTGGTCAGTTATTTGTTGTTTTTGTAGTCTGGGTGAGAAATCCTGAAGAGATTGGGTTAAAGAGTTGAAGTGGGCAGGGGAGAGGGAGACGATGCAGATTTAAGCTGCATCCCTGAAATGCAGCCAGCAGAACTTGGTGACTAAGCATTGAGGGCAGGGAGGGTATGATTGTCATAGTGTCAGGTCAAGTGGGCAATGCTGTCATCGAGAGAATGGGAACTATAGCATGGAGCCAAGCTGGGAGAAGTTGGGGTTTAGCTTTTGGCTCAGCTTAATGGTCGTGGGACCCACAGATGCATGTGTCTAGAGTTGGGACCTTGGTACAGTATAGGAAATGGTACTGGCGTCAAGTGACAAAACTGGACTTGAACTGGCTTAAGAAACAAAAAGGAAATGTAGGTCTCAGATAACTGAGCAGTCAAGGGATAACGGCTCCAGGTATGGCTGAATCCAGGTACTCGGGAGTCTTTCTTCTTTTTCTCCATGCTGACCTTATGTCAGGAGAGATTCTTCCAAAATCGCAGCAAAATGATTACATCTTTAAGTATAATATTGGGAATGAATTCCTCTTTTTCTAAGCTTCCAGGAAAGATCCTGACATGGACTAGGTTGTTCCCAACTGGGGAGTTTGTTACTTACTAAGCCCTAAGAATGCTTCTGGTTGGCTTGGCTCCTTGCTGCCCTCGGGCTCCGGGTGGTACCCACAGGGGGCCCTGGGTTTACAGCATTGCTGGGAGAGTTTAAAGGAAAACAGAAGCACAGTTGTTGTGGGAAAGGGTAGGGATGCAAAGCAAATGCATGAAGATAGGGACCCTCTCCTGTAGATGGAATGCTGTGTCCCCCTACATGCTGTAGTGAACTTAAAAATGGGGCCTTGGGAGGCACTGGAGCCTGTGGAGGAGCTGTTTCCCTGTCTGCTCTCCAGCCAGTCACCAGTCTGGAAGCAGCCTTTACCTTGCTCTTGGACCTCCGGGCCTGCAGAAATAAACGTGGACGTCCTCTGGTCAATGTCACCTTACTACAGCTGCTGGGCAGCCTCAGATAGCTATGTCCCAGGGGTCTGTGATGCATACACCATTCCAAGGCAATTGTTTTGTCATCTTTCACACTTCTGGGGAGCAGGAATTTGGGGAGGCTCACAAGGTGGTGCTTTGAGGTTCTGCTTTGAGGTCTCCCTTGTAGCTGAGCCAAAGTGCCTGGGGCTGGCCCGGCATCTTTGTGTCTCTTTCTGTCAGGGAAGAAGGCAGGAGTTCTCTGGGGGTCTTTCTGCACAAACCAGATTGGGCTCCCATCACCACAGCAGGCTTTTTTTTTTTTTTTTACTAGGAATGGAAGCCAGGGGCTTTACACTGAGCTACATCATCAGACTTTTCTGTGTTTTTTATTTTGAGGCAGGATCGTGCTTCATCACCAAGTCCCCAAGCTGGGACTGAACTTGTGAACTTCCTACCACAGCCACCCAGAGTGCTGGGATTCTATTCCTGTGCCACTGTGCCCGGCTCAGATGAAACTTTTTTTTTTTTTTTTTTTTTTTCAGATGACACTTCTTAAACCAATGAGCTAGGCAGCAATTACCTTTGTGACCCACATCAGAAATCATCACAGAATGATTCTACCATGGTCTGTCAGCCACCGGTCACTGGGGTTGGGCCAGATTCTTAGACTATCCCCTAGAGGGATGCTCCTAGACATGTAGGCAAGTCTCCATATGCCGTGCACTTGGTCAGATCACCAAAGAACATTTGAGAAGACAGTGAGGTGGGAAAGTGAGAGGAGCTATTAGGGCTGGCCGGCATGTTGCAGAAACCACAGGGAAACTTTCCCAGCAGGGACACCTGCTCAACGCTGCCACATGTGCTAGACACACAGCAAACTCACAGGCCTTAGAGGAGGCTACAAGGAGACAGCGGGGATCTTGGGCAGGGGTAGGGGGGACAGTGCTCTGTTGGTGAGGGTGAGTTGATTGGGAAAGAGTCAGTGGGCAGAGGCCGCACTGTGGAGAGCAGGCAAGGGGATCTGAGGGCTGATAGTAGGGGACAGGTGATGAATGAGGCTCTGGAGGAGGTGGGAAGGGATGAGGTCCTAAAGAGAAGGGAATGCGCTGACCTTGAGCCTGTGAAGGGGGAACCTGCGTCCTCTGAAGCCCTGGAGGGGAAGGGCAGCCACTGGGAGGAGATACGCAGAATGGTTGTAGCTGAACTCAAGAGTCAAAACAGATCCAGAGCTGGGCATGCCAGAGCACACCCGTAATCCCAGCACACTGAGAGGCTGAAGCAGGAAGGCTACAAGTCTGAATTGAGTCTGGGCAATTTGGTGACTCACCAAGACCCTGTCTTCAAGCAAAAAATGAAAAGGACTGGGCTGTAGCCCAATCTGAAGATTTTGGGCCAAGTCTCCAGTACTACAAAGACAAAAAAACAAACAACAGATCCAGGTATGAATCTTAGTTCTGTCACTTGATGGTTTTCCCACTGTGAGCCTCAGTTTCTCTGAAACAGAGATAATATAAGTGTGTGCTTCTCAAAAAAATTGTGGGGCTGGGGATTTAGCTCAGTGGTCTAAGCGCCTGCCTTGCAAGCACAGGGCCGTGAGTTTGATCCCCGGTACTGCCAAAAAAAAATTTGTGAAATGAGTGTTGTGCATATAATGCAATCTTCAAAGCACTAGGAGCAGAGAGAGAAGTCAGTGAATTACTGTTGTCACTATTTTTGTTCTTTTGTTTCGTGGGTGAATGGCATGGAAAGCCAGGTGACATGGTACTCAATAAATTGCTCCTTATAAGAAAATCAAGAGGCATTATCTAGTACGAAAGGAGATTTAAAGGGTGAAGTGATACATATGTCCAGGCTGGGTGTGGCGATGTGGGCCTATAATCTGGCTACTCAGGAAGTTCAGGGAATACATTTAGCAGTCAAACCAAACACATAAGAGGAAGGAAGCCCTAAGGAGCACATGACAGGGAGCCACCATCTCAAATAAAGCCAGAGTAGTCAGGCAGCTTTTCCAAGTGGCACAGCAAATCCTCTCCTATCCTCTAACACAGGCTTCTTTCCATTCTAGGTTTGTATTCACAGAGACCTGGGGCTTCAGATTTTTTGGAGCAGAAAGAGTAGAACTTGACATTTAGTTGAAAGGAACCCCGATGAACAACTGAGAGAAGCTGGGTTGCTAAGAAACCCCCTAGGGTGGGGGAGAGAGTTGGCATCTATCACTAGGCAACCTAGAAGCCAGACAGACAGGTTTGCCTGCAGATGCCACTCCCTCCTTCTCAGAGACTCCTGGAATGCCAGGCCAGGATGCTCTGGGAGACTTCTAGCCCAACCCTACCTGGACAGCTGGGGACACTGAGGCTTCAATAGGCACCATGAGTACCCCAAGGTCCTTCAATTCCTCAATAAAAACAGAGACCAGTTGCCTGGGAGGGTACTGTCACTGGGGTATGACCAGGGATGGCCGAGGTACAGTTTGAGTAGTGGAAAATGAGTCTGTAAGAGTAAAGGAACCAGGCTTGGTGGTGCAGGGCTGTAATCCCAGTTACTCAGCAGGCTGAGGCAAGAGGATCACAAGATTCAGCTCAGCCTGGGCAACTCGATAAGACCCCACCTCAAAACAAAAACTAAAAAGGGCTAGAGAGGCTGGGTGTGGTGGTGCGTGCCTGCAATCCCAGCACTTGGGAGGCTAAGGCAGGAGGGTTGACACAAGTTCAAGGCCAACCTGGTCTCCATAGTGAGTTCAAGGCCAGTCTGAACTACATAGTCTCAAAGCACCTCCCCCCTCACACACACAAAAAGGCTACAGATATAATTCAGTGGCAGAGCATCCCTGGATTTGATCCCTTGTCAAAGAAAGAAGGAAGGAAGGAAGGAAGGAAGGAAAAAAGAAAAAGGAAGAAAGAGAAAGAAAGAAAGAAAAAAAGAAAGAGAAAGAGAGAGAAAAAGAAAAGAAAAGGTGAGCATGGGAAGACCATGAGAAGGGCAGGGGAAAGTGTGGAGAGGCTGGGGCGGGAAGCCAGGGAGAGCCAGAAAGGCTGAGCTGCAAGGTGGCTACCAGAGGTGAAAGGACAGGGCATTTTTGAAGGAAGTGCCAACAGGACACAGAGCATATGAAGCATGAAGAAACAGGAGTCAAGGAGCCAAAGACAGTGGCCTTGTACTTTGGATTGGACATGAAGACACCAGGGTAAGCAGGTTGAGAAGCATCCTGGAACAAAAGTCATTTTTAGATCTGTCAAGCTCAAAGCAGTGATTAGACATCTAGCAGCGTGACAAAAATGCAGCCAGTCTGACAGTGTGGGCTGGAGACTTGAGGATGCTCAGCTATGATGAATGGAAGGGCCCAGATTCCAGCTGTGGGTGCACAGGCCCAGCCCCTGTCCCACTGTGTGGATGTCACTTAGACTACAATACATGGCAAAGGTGAAGAGACTTCTGTGATGGAATTAAGGTCACAAATCATTTGACTTTTAGGTAATTAAATAGATGTTTTGGGGTAGGCAGTTCCCTCCCCTGCCTTTGAGGTTGAAATCTTCTCCGGTTCTCCCGCTGGCCTTGACAAAGGAAACTGTGCAGTGAGGAGAGACACTAACTGCCAGCCAGCAAGGAGGGGAACTCTGTCGCAGAGCCACATGGAATGGAATCACCTGCAGCCACGTGCATCTGAGAAAGACACTGAGCGTCGAGGGGCAGGGGCACACAGGTCGACACCTCACTTGCTGCCCTGAGGTCCTGAGCAGCTCACAGCACCAGGATGCCTGCCCTGCGTTGGCTGGGAAGCGGTAAACCATACTACATTGGAGGCACTTCACTGCCCAATGATGGATAACCAGTAAATCAGTGCATGGGTGTTCTCACAGCCTTGGAACCAAGAGGCTTCAGCTGCCCAGGCATAAGACACGGCTCAGCAGCGAGTGGGTGACTGTGTGAATGGGGACACTGGAGTGGAAGTCCTTCCTGCCGCCATCCCCTACTCCACCTGCACAGAACTTGCTTTCTACTCCTCTTGGCCACTAGGTGTCCTCAGAGTCCTTACAGGCAGGTGTTTTCCTTGCCTTTTCGGGACATCTGAAGTGGAAGAGGTGAGGCTTCTATGTGCAGCTACTTAGGAGGCTGAGGCAGGCAGACAAGTCTAAACCAAGCCTGTGCAATTTAGAGACCCTGCATCCAAAAACAAAAAGGCCTTTGGACCTCTGGGTTTGATTCTCAGTAAAACACCCACACCCATGCACATGCACCTGTGGCACAAGGAACCACAGCAAGAGAGGCATCTTGCCAATGGCTCTACATCCCGTCTCCCTCCGTCTCAGTCACCTTGTACTGGCACTTGTGATTATGCACCCTTCCCCCACGGGTCAGGGTAGTGAAAGCCCACTCTGGAGTGTCCTTGGGGCTCAGCTGTAGCTCTGGTGGGAGTGTGAAAGGGGCTGGCCCCTGGGTGATGCTGATGGGTGCTGGTAAAATGAAAACTTGAGACTTGGGAATATCTAAGGTATCTGGTCGCCACCACTGAGCCAGTGACCCCACTCCCTCTGATCCTCTGATGTTCACAGTTTTCCAGAAGCAGACACAGAGATTGAGTTGCAGGTGCAAGATGTTTATTAGGGACAACACCTGTGAAAAGAAGAGATAGCAGGACTGGGCACAGGAAGAGGTTAAACCGTGCTGCAGGCCTGACAATGCCCTGGCTGGTCTGAGGTACACAGGCAGCACCGTACAAAAGGCCAGGTGTGCATCCCATGCTTGGCTCAGCCACCAGGGCAGGCTGCTGGGGCAGATGTGACTTCAGTGAGCTGCTCTCCAACCCTGAGGAGCTGATGGCAAGGCCATCAGTGGTCTGAAGCCCTTGCTAGGAGAGCCTCCTGCATGTGCACAGCACTGCCTTCCATGCCTTAACACCACTTCTTCTTACAGGAGTTTCCCAGTTTGCTTTTCACTAGGGGCTGAAAGGAAGCACGTAGCCTTTGCTCTTAGAGAAGGGGCTTTATCTGAGTATAGGGATTTACTCAATCTGGTGAATAAATTTGGGGCAGGAGTGTGGGGAGCAAAGGAGGGAAAGCCCTGATTTGTTTCTGAGACAACACCAGTCACTTCAGGAGGGCGGAGGATCAACCTTACAGAGAGGAACTGTGGCTTCTGCTACTTTTTGGTCATGCAGTCTACACTGCAGGCCAATGTGTGCCCTACCTGTAGGCTGGCAAAGGGAGGTAGGACAGCACCTGAGCAGCACTTCAGCAGCAGACAGGACCAAGATCCTGACCCTCAGCTTCCTTCACAGACAATGGAGGAAGAACGAATCTATGGGACACCATGTCAAATACTTGGTCCAGAACAAAGTTTTCCTTCTTATCCTCATGTGACACATTCAGAAAGAAGAATTGGGATGAAGTTAATTTGCTTAAGGTCACATAGGTGCTCAGAAAAGGAGCTAGGCTTTGGGCAGTGTGGCCCTACCCTGCTTTTTAATATTCATTTAGGGCAGGATCAAACTAACCCTCTTGGGGCTGACCTGCCCACACACCTGCTTCACTTGGCTCAGAGGTTTAAAAATATTTGAGTCAGCTTTCATTTTGAAATTACGATGACTCAGAAACAGCAATGTTTCCAGCTTCTCTTAAAAAAATCTGGCCATCTGGCCACCCTGGACCAAATTCCCACAGGGTCACAACTGGCTGCAGGTAGGTAGTTGCCACCCTTGAACTGGGTCACGAAACCAGTATTCACTCATTCTTGTTACCTGCCTGGCCTCAGCAGGGGAGGAATCTGCTACCCTCAGTGAGAGCAGGGAGTCCTGAGACAAAAGGACACAGGTCCACACAGGCTAGGTACTGGTCCCCAGACAGCTAGCTCTTCCTGCATAGCTTAAGTCCTGTGGACTTAAATCTGGCAATCTGTTGGGGGAGGGTTGAAGAAAAGCACAGACATGCAGAACCACAGGGCAAGGTCGGGGCAAATACACTTTATTCAGTCCTGGCATCAGACTGGCAGAAGTCCTGCTGTGGGTGCCAGTGCCCCAGACAGAGGGACCCCTCCCCTCAGCTACTAGACTAGTTCTCCAAGACCACAGACAGTGACATCTCTTCACTCACATGACATTTTCTGGGTTTTTCATTGTCTTTTTGTTTTGTTACGTTTTCTTTAAAAAAAAGAGAGAGAGAGAGAGAGAAAGAGCGCAAGAAAGGCCTAGAGCCGGAGCACCAAGCTTAAAAGAGGCAGCTGGTGGCTTTGTCAGCGAAGGGAACGCGTGGGGCAGAGACCTGTAGAGACCCAGGCAGGGGTCCGGGAGGACTCTGGGACCGTTTGTTCCTGAGATTTGTGTGTGTGAATGAGAGTGTGTGAGCCACCCGGAGGTGAACACACGCCGGTGATACAGGTAGTGAGGGCAGGGGGGATGTGGGGAGGCCGGAGGGGCGGGGCTCCAGCAGAGAGCTGGGCTGAGGGGGCAGCAGGAGGACAGAGTTTCAAGCACCCTGAACCGGACACATTTTCCTTCTAACAGCATTCCTTCCATTTCTCCCGTGGAAAAACTGAGGTGCAAACAGCAGCTCACCTCCACTCTACAACACATTGTCTCCCCTGCCCGTATGTGGTCTCTCTCAAACCACTGTTACACTTGGGCTCCTTCCTACCACCCATCTACTATCCTGTCTCACTCCCGACTCCCTAGCACCAACGTGCCTCAGTTTCTTCCACTGAATACTGCAACGGTGGTTGAGGGTGGACTGGGTGATAAGAAAGAAAGGGATGGTGGGCTTAGGGAGGAGCCCAAGCTGGAAGGGTGCCCTGAGATGATAGGGCGCTTCCCCTGGTGGGGGTGGGAGCAGCAGGGATCCTGTCCCTAATCAGATTGTAGGTATCTTCTAAATTTTCTTGGTCAATCCCTTCCTCTTTGGTGGATTTCCAGAGAAAGCGGTTCCTCGAAATTCCCAGTTGAGGAAAGAAAGGGTCGTTCCGTTTCTGCGGACCAAGATAAACTGTAACGGCAGTCACACAGTTGGGAAGGTAGTGGACATGGGCAATCTCACCAGAGAAGAAAATCTATGCCACTTGGCGAGTCCAAGCCCCTGCCACCTCTTGTGGACTACCTAATTTCTTTCTCTCCCTTGTAAGTGCTCCTCCCATTAAGGCAGTGACGCCCCGTCGGGTAGAGAGAAAGCCAAAGGCTCTGGGATCAAAGGGTTTCTCAGGAACGCTCCACACTTGCCCCTGTCCTCCTCTGCACAGGCCTCAGAAACGGGCAGCAGGCCAGGGATCAGCCCCCTCCTCCCAAGCAGCACTAAGCATGCGCAAGGAGGGGGTGGGCCCAAGAGAAGGGGCGGGCCCTAGTGCTCCAGGGGTGAAGGAGCGCGCCCCACCCCCGGGAGGAGGTGGGGCCTACGAGGAGTGCGTGGGGCCGCATTGCCCCCAATCCAAGTAGGCAAGCTAGGCAAGGGCGTAGAGATTCGAGAGCAAGGGAGGGGGTGTGCCCTCCGGCCATGAGGAGGGGTGTGTGCAAGGTGGGGGAGGGGTGCAGGTCGGTAAGGGAGAAGGGAGGTGTACCGGAGGGGGGCTGGCTGCTGGTGGCTGTGCGGGAGGGGTCAAAATGGGGAGGGGCTTGGCTGTCAGGGAAAGGCTGGGGGTTGGGTTGCCTTGGGGTGTGTCCGCGGGGGAGGGGCATGTCTGGATCCAAGGGGGGGAGGATGGGCACGACTAGGAGGGGAGAGGCTGCGCGGGAGATGGGGTGCCAGCCTCGGCCTCCGAGGGGCCCCAATACCTGATTCCTGTATGTAAACAGCTGGTTTGGGGGCGTGTGCGCCCCGCTGACGGTGGGCTCAGTAGGTGAAAACCAGGTCGGCGATGCTAGACGGGCGCCAGTCCCCCGCGATCATCTCAGTGACCTCGGGAGTGCAGTAGTCCGGGAACTCGAAGTGTGACGTGCCCGAGGCGGGGGGCAGGTCTGGGTCGCGGTCTAGGGCGCTGCAGTCCAGGCCTGTGGGGCCTGGGGGCTGCCTGGATAGAAAGCCCAGCGGTTCCTCCCCCGACGCCACCGTCTCCTCGCCTTCCTCCGCCGCTGCCGCCTCCTCGTCCTCCTCCAGCTCCTCGTCCTCCGACGGGGTCGGGGAGGCCGCGGGGGCGGTCGCCCCCTCACCCGACGGCCCCTGGGTGCGCTCCACCGTTCCCCGGGCGGCCCGCCCCGCTGGGACCATCCGCCACAGCTCCCGTCCGGGGGTCTCCACCAGGCGCACTTCCAGCAGCTCCTCGTCGTCATCATCATCGTCGTCCTCGGGCGGCGCCGCGCCGCCCCCCAAAGGCCCTCCTGTCGCCCGGCGGGCCCCGCGGCCGGGCAGCTGCGGCCCGGACTTGAGCCGGCTGCCACCGCCGCCGGGGGGGCGGGGCCGCGCCTTGGCGGGCGCCCCCTTGCTCTTTTTGCGCGGCCGGTACTTGTAGTCCGGGTAATCCGCCATGTGCTTGAGGCGCAGCCGCTCCGCCTCCCGCACGAACGGGATCTTCTCCGAGTCCTGCAGCAGCTGCCAGCGGCGGCCCAGGCGCTTGGAGATCTCGGCGTTGTGCATGTCGGGCCACTGGTCCATGATCTTCCGCCGTTCGTGCTGGGACCACACCATGAATGCGTTCATCGGCCTCTTGATGTGGCCGCTCGGCGTCTTGCACCAGCCGGGTTCGCGCGCCCCCTCCTCTGTTGGCCCGGGCCCCGGGGGCGGCGGCCCGCTGTCCCGCTTGGCCCGCGCGCCCCGCTGCTGCACCATCGCGCCTGGGCCCCGGGCCGCTAGACGCCGCCGGGGGCCGTCCGCATCCTCCGCGGCTGGGGGTGGGGGAGGAGGCAGCGGCGACGGAGGGGCGGCCCCGCCCCGCGGCTCAGCCCGGCCCCCGTGAGCTAGGGAGCGAGGAGCTGGGCGCTCGGGCCCAACGGACGGCTGGGGGAGGTTAGCGGCGCGGTCTCAGGCGGGCTCTGTGCGGTCCCGTCGGCCCGGACAAGTTGCGCCCTGCCGCACGCCACACATTGTTGTACGCGGGCGGAGGAGTCGCGCCTCCCGTGCGCTTCTTGCAGCCTCGAGCTTCGCCACGGCCCGCGCGCGCCTCTCCCCGCCCCACCGCCGCCGCCGCCGCCGTCTTCTAGTCTCTTTCTCCCCGCGCGGCCCCGCCGGTGCGCGCGCCACACCTCCCCCTCACCGTCTGCGGGCCGCTGCAGCGCGCGCGGGGCCGCCCCGTGTAAACACCGAGGTGCCCGCCTGGGCTGCGGCCGGGCCACGCCTCGCGTTCGGGCGACGCGTCATCCGTTGCTGGGCAGAGAACCCCGTATTTGCATCTCCCAATCGCTAGCCGCCGGAGCGGGGCGGGACTCGGGCTGCGGGTTTAGCGGTCTCGCGCCTGGGATTGGGGGAGATGGATGAGATCGGTTTCTTTTCTTAGGTTGGGGGCTGGAGGGAAGTGGGGTGGGGGTAGGGAGGTCGCCGAGCTTGCTTCCCATCTGGCTGTCAAAACTTGTACTAGTTCTGCGTGGCCTTTGTCTATTAGCTTATTCAGTGACACCTGTCTCCAGGTAAGGATTCTCGCCCCTTTTCTCTTCTGAGGACATCTTTTGGAACATCCTAGAAGACAACTTGGGACAATCAAGATTGAAGATTCTCAGAAGGACAGGCTCATTGTGTCATAACCTCTGCCTTTTACAGGGTCTGGCCACGTAAGGACTTAATACTTCTGAACCTTCATAGAGAGGAAAGGGGGGCACAGGAGCCTAGAAAGGAAAGACACCCACTGTCAGAAGATGAAACCTTGAGGCCATGTACACTACGACTCGAGTCGCAGGCTTTCGCGCCCTATGCCCTTCCAAGAGTACGTAAGAGGCCGAGCCGCCACGCCTCCGGCCGGCGCGCTTAGAGAAAGCTTGGGCGCGCGAGTCCGGGATCTGTGCGGGCCAGGCGCGTCGCCCCTCCCCGGCCGAGAGCGGCGTGCAGGTCTGGGGGCGGGATGGGGCGGGCCCCGGGGCGGGGTCAGCTGCTGGCTTGCGGCGCGCGGCTGGGAAGAGCTGTACGCTCCGCGCTCACCACGTGTGAGCCGATTCTGACACCACCCGTCGTGTGCCACCCCTGGGGGAGGTCACCTTCACGGACGTCGTGGGCCTGGGCGGTGGGAGGGGGAGCAGAGGCTTCTGGATAAAGGTTTCAAAGATGCCATTTCCCTGGGGCATAGCGGGTTTACCGTGAGGGGTGGGGGGCGCGCCTCCAGTTGTAGGGCTCACCCCACCCCAGGCCAGTGAGGACCGATCCCGAGTGCGAAGCTGGAAGCGGGGAGGATGGGCCGAGGCGCGGCTCTGCGGCTTGGTGCCCTGGGTGCCTGGGACGGTAATTGGAGCATCCCTGATGGAAAGGGGGAAGGGCGGGTCTTAAAGGCACAGTGAGACCAGCGGAAGAGGTTCTGCTCCCGCCCACATGGTCCCTCAGCCTTATTGAAAGCTGAGAGCTGGAAATCTCTGCGTTTGAATTTCTCCTACTGCAGCCTGAGCAGTTCATTGTTCGGTGAAGTCAGACTTCCTGTGTTCATATCCCAGTGCCTCCTTTTATGCTTAAAATGGCGAGAATGCATCTTTTTCATTCGGTAGGTGGCTTCACAGGTTAAGTGGGATAATGGATGGAAACACATCCCTGATAGCTAGTAAATGTTCAGTTGACGTTATTTGTGACTAAATCTTCCAGTAGTTGAGGTCACAACCAACGCAGATGGCAGCGCCATGAGGAAAAAGTTGGTGGGGGTGGGAATGGATTTAACGTTCTGGGAAAGGTATCAAAATTCGTGCTTGTGAGGAAACTAAATACTTTCCTGACATTTCTAGCACCTTTTCAAGTTTTTTCATCTAATGCTCATTTTATTTTTACATGATGTATGATGCGCAGAACCATCCTTTCAGTACTTAGAACCTCTCCAAGGTCATTTTTGCCTCTAGCTACTGCCTTTCTTATTTCACTGTATTTGAATTGTTTCTATTCTGGTCCACATCCAGATTGATTTGAGGGGTTCACTATTGTCAGCAAGGAAAAAGAAAATGATACATCCATTATTCCACCCCCACTCCGTCCATGTATCCATCCATTCAACAAGCGCTTATTAATACTTAACCATTCTACAGGCCCTAGGATGAACATTGCGGAGCTTAAGTTAAAGTTCAGCAGAGTGTGAACCCCGTAAGAAAAATCTCTGTCTGCCTTGTCCTGTGCAGCTGTCAGGACACTTCATAACAGATAAGACATGTACCAGAGTTCACTATTTTTCTTTTTTCCTCAACAGACATTTTTGCAATGCATTGTCCTTTCTAAAACAGCTCCCTAGAAGAGCAATCCCTTAATTGTAGCAGGCACTGAACTGGCAAGTAGGGCCTGCTGGGTTATAGCAGTGACCAAGACAAAAGTGTGTCTTCTTGCTAAGCAATCGGGGATATCAGAAAAGAGCAGGTAAACAAGCTATCTTTAAACACTTTTTAGTGCTATGAAGAAAATAAGACAGTGGAGTAAGTGACTGGGACAGAGGGAGTGATGAGGATCAGAGGTGAGCTTAGATCTCAAAGTGATGAGAAGCCTACCCTACTAAGATCTGGAGGACGAACCTTCCAGGCAAAGGATGAACAATTGGAAGGGCTGGAAATGAGAAACAAATTGCGTTAGGTAGTGAGGAACAGGGGGACGCAGAAGGTCTCCAGATCAGAGACTGCAAGGGACATACACAAGACAGGATGGTTCTGTCTGGGGCTGGAACTGGAATTGGAGGGAAATGTCTGATGAAGGCCTTGTCCAGAGAGTAGAGAGCCAGGGAAAGGTTCTTAGTGGCAGAGTGTTAGAATCCTGCTTTAGGGAGATTAAGGCGTTTCATGTATTGTGGGTGCATTAGAGAAAAGAGATTTGGAGGGGAAAAGATCAGTCAGAAATTTTGTTGTGTTTTAAAAATATGTCCACAGATTTTTTGCTTTTCCTGTTTCTCTTTGCCCAGTTAAGTGTGAGCTGAGTGTGCTGACTTGGCTTTTAATAGAATGTGGCAGAAATGATGGTATATAACATACAAGATTAGGGTTTTCTCTTTGTTCTGTGTCCTGTGTCACTTTTTCTGGGAGATGCTAACTGCCATACTGTAAGGGCACTGAAGCACCCTTGGGGGAAGGCCCATGTGGCAGGGGACTACAGACTGCGGCCAGCAGCTCTGTGGATGTACCATCTTGGAATGAGCTCTTCCAGCCCTTCAGAATAGTGCATCCCTGGCTGATATATCTCTATGTCTATATTTATATCTATCTATATTTTAAGACAGAGTCTCACTATATAGTCCAGACTGACCTCAACGCAGAGCAGTCTGATCCTCCTGCCTCAGTCACCCCAGTGCTGAGATTACAGGCATGGGCCTCCATACCTAGCCTTGATTATTCTGTCTCTCTCTCCTCTATCTCTGTCTCTATCTCTCTGTTTCTCTTTTCAGTACTGGGAACTGAACTCATGATCTTTGCACTAAGATACCTCTCTGGTCCCCAAGCCTTTTATTTATTTATTTATTTTTTAAAACAAAGTCCCACTCTAGTTAAGGCTGGCCTTGAGGCCTTGAACTCACTAGGTAAGCTAGGTTGGCCTGGAACTCCTGGTAGTCCTCCTGCCTCAACCTCCCAAGTGCTAAGATTACAGGCATTGTGCCACCATGCCTGGCTTTTTGTTCTTATTCCTTTCCCCTCCTACTCCCTTGTTGTCCTCCTCATTTGAGCATTTTCTTCCATTTCCTAGTATCTATGTATATTTTGGTCCTTATTGTTTACATGTGGTTTCTCATACTGGAGAGACAATGTCATATTTAAACATGTATGTTCAATTTATTTCACTTAAGAATATGGTGTCGGGCTGGAGATTTAGCTCAGCAGCATAAATGCCTGCCTGGCAAGCGCAAGGTCATGAGTTTAATCCCCGGTACGAAAAGAAAGAATATGGTATCAAGGTGCATTTGCTTACCTAGAAATGTACGAAAAAAAAGAATATGGTATCAAGGTGCATTTGCTTACCTAGAAATGTTTCAAGCCTATCTTTCTTTATGGCACAGTAATACTCCATTGCATTTTTTAAAAACCACATCTTCATGCATTCATTGGTTGATGGACATTTGGGCTGTTTCCAAAATTTAGCTATTATAAACTGTGCCACTGTAAACATAGGTGTGCACATATTATTGTGGTGTGATGCTTTTAGTTCTTTTGGGAAGATACCAAGAAGGGGAATACCTGGGTGAAATGGAGCCTCTAGTTTTAGTTTTTTGAGGAATCTCCACAGATTTCCACAGTGGGTGCGCCAGTATGTACTCTCACCAAGAGTGGAGGATTCTTTTCCCCTGGCAGTCCCACCAGCATTTGTTATTGGTTGATTTCTTGATGGTAGTTATTTTTTATGGAGTGAGATGGAATCTCTGTGTTATTTTAATATGCATCTCTTGAATGATCACTGATGTTGAACACTTTTTCATATATTTATTTGTCATATCTTCTTTATATAAGAAATGTCAGTTCATTTCAGATACCTATTTTTGTTTTTGTTTTTTTTAATTTTTCAGATACCTATTTTTGGACTGGGTCTTTAAGTTTGGGGAATCTGATTTTTTTTTCTAGATTTTAGTTATTTGAGGAACAGCTGGCAAAAATTTTTTCCTATATTATGGGAAAAATAAAAATTTCCTATTCACTCTGTTGATGGTTTCTTTTGCTGTACAAAAGGTTTTTAGTGAGATGAGATCCCAGTTGTTGATTTTTTGTGTTACTTCCTGTGCGATCAGAGTGTTATTCCTGAAGTCTTGCTTATAAAGACGCTTTATATCAGTGTCTTCAAGAGTTCTGCCTATTCTGTCTTCAGCAGCTTTAGTGTCTCTGTTTTAATATTTAGATCTTTGATCATTTGATTTTAGTGCATGGTGAAAAATAGCGGTCTAGTTTTAATGTTTGGCATATAAAATTGGCTAACACCTTAACTGCAGCCTCATGGGAGATCTTGTGCCAGAACCTCCTAACTAAATTCTTGCCAGATTCATGATCCATAGAAACTGAGATTGTGTTTGCTTTGTTACCATGTTCCCACTGGCTTAAGCCAACATTGGTACATGTGTGACTTTTCCATCAGGTGGCTCAAGCCGCCGGTGGTTAGCAATGTAACATCGGATGATGGAATTCAAATTTGAGCCGCCTGGCAGTGAGACAGACGAATGGTATCCCCATTGTGAATGTGTTTTAGCCTTTTGGGAATAATAGATTATGCAGCAAGAGAGACCGTAGTCTCCCATTATCCAAGCGTAGTACATCCCAAGATCCCTAGTAGATGCCTGAGACTAAATAGTTTAATATCCGTTTCATCTTACTAAACATTCAGCATAAAGTGCTGACTTTTGTAGTTACAGGTGTAGCAGTAAAACCAGCATGAATTTCTTTTCCTTCTTCATGATTTCAGGGTTGAAAGATTTGTTCCTACTATAGATCTTAGCAACCTCAGCAAAATGTTTTCTTTGCCTTTTGAGAATGTTCACCTTTTCATTTAAAGGGAGCGTTGTATGGCTTCCCATTGGTGTATCTGAATTGTACCTGAATTACCATCGTTTTCCCTCTTATGCTTTAGGGTCTTAATTAAATAAAATAAGACTTATTTAGACACAAGGACTGTGATCCCACTATAGTTGATCTGATTACTGAGATTGCTGCTAAGTA